TGTAAAGCTTCTCTGTGAACACAAGCAAACACTATCCTCGTTAAAAGCCTTTCAGACAGCACTTGGTGCAGTGCATTAAAGGAATAACAAGAAAATTAAATCAGACACAGTTTTTGCCTTTTTGTAGGTGCAGTCTAGACAAATGTCACTGAATTAAGAATACCACCTGGGTTAACAGGAAAATCAAGGCCAAATGCTTAGCTAACCTGAGTACTCATGTCCCCCAAGGCAAAGTATATTGTTGTGAAGTTTAAAGAAGATCCATAAAGAGTGGTTAATATAACATTTTTACCAATTTTCACATCATTTAGTGTGACCTTTATCCAATTTTCACTCAAATAAAAGAGCTCAAGCTATTATTGGTATCGACAAAATCTAAAAAATAATATCTTGACGACTGTGGACACCAGACTGCTAAAAAACAGACAGAAAAACAACCACAGACAATTACATATTCCCTCCTTTTGTACGGAGAATAATTTTACACAGAGATGTTGTTCTTACTTAGTTTAACGAGGAATGCTTCATCTTCTTCCTCAAATGTGTCATCACCTTGCATGAACTTGGAATATGTCTCAGCTGTGTAGTCCAGGAAGAGCTACATATGAAGAAAGAACATTAAGACAAACTTACAATATAATAATCACACTAGCTTTGCTGAACAACACAGACACGACACATGATTGGCTACAAAATGTAGAGTGCCAGTAACTATATAAAGTGGGCTTACACCACTTTCTTAACCTGTCAGTATACATGATTTTATTTTTCATAGTTTTCACACTGTAAAGTTCCTGTACCTTGTTGAACTCAGCACCTTCTTCAATATTTTCGCCTTCATTGAAGTCACTGAACAGCAGCTCCTGTTTGCTCAAACTCCAGTTGATCTGATGCAGAAACACATTAAAAATAAAGAAAACACGCTGACCTTTAGCTTCCACATTTTCTTGTGGGGCATTTTTATATTTAGTGCATGTGAACTTTGTTTTAAACGATAACGGTCCAATGTCCAATCCATTGAAGATTTAATGTCATTTCTCACCTTGACATTATCAATAAGCCACATGAGAGCCCCCAGAGCCTGAGGCCAGGTATGGGGAGCTCCAACAGAATACATGGAACACTTGGAGAGAACGAATGGGTACCTTAAACAAAATGCCAAAACAGAGCAAGTCAGGAAAGTTTCTTAAACTACAGAAAATGAGACAAGATATTTCATAATATATCCTTTAACTATTTCTTTTAAGTGCGGGGAGGGGGTTTAACAACAACAACAACAGCTGTTAACACTACACATTTTACCCCAAGGTTTTAAAGAGAGCAGGAACCTCCTCTTCAACTTTTGAGTTTGGCATCTCAAAGGTTGGGTCTAGCTGGCAGTAGATGAATTCAAACATCTTCACAAACTCCTTGGTGGATGGAGACTGGAGGGTCTTGGATGACAAAGTGCCCGGGTAACCCTGCTCTGTCAAGAACTAGATCATATGAAAGAAATACACTGTTAAAATACAAACAAAAATTTATTCTGCAATCATTTAAGACCCCTTGTGTGGTAAATGTATCCATCAGAGGTATGGTAAAAATGCTAAGCAGGTAAATGAAATAAGGTGTATGTTGCAGTCCCTTATTTCACAGTCCACCTTACACAGACACAGTTTATGTTTTTACCTCGTGCAGCTGCCTGATGCATTGCTGAACATAAGACTTATCGTGTAGAGGTCGAGCATCTTTTATCTTCTCAGTTCCTCCAAACCCCGACATGGTGCTGTTGCGAGGCATGCCGACTCCACTAGTTCTGTTAAAATGTCAAAGAACAGTTTTATTTTTTAATTTACAAAGAGAGTTACAATATATTCACACTTAAATCAAGGCATTGCAGAGAATTGTTGTTGTTTTTTTTTTAAAAGAAAAAGCGTAAATATATTTTTTTAAATTTAAGATATGTCAAAGTAATTTTACCCTGAGTGGGTTAATTAACTTATTCCACTTTTTACTTGTTTCAGGAACGTTTGTAATCTTCATTTTATTTTCAAATTTCTAATATCTAAGCTAATATCTAAGCCCAATCACCTGAGGATTTTACAAAAGTAGTCATTTTGTAGTAACAGTGTAACCGAGTTTTGGAAAATTCAGACATACCTCGGACCAAAGAAACTGGTCCGTCTTTCAGAGGTCCCAGACTGCGGTTTTGGTATGTTGAGCTTTCCAAATGAAGGCTGTTTACTGTGAAAAAAGAAAAAAAAACTTTAAAAACTTGAATGATTAATTTGCTGATACCTAGTGAGCCATCTTTCTTCATGAGTTAATAAATATAACTTCCCCATCCCTGCTTTACCCCATGTATACAATATCATATCATATAAGATTACCCAAACCAATAAGTCCCAGTCTGTCACAACGCATTTCTAAACAGACTGTGTGGTCCAAATTAAGCTATGTTAATTTAATGTTGTGGAGACAACCCCTTATTAAAAGCATTGGGTTACAACAATCAGCTGTTTATCAAATAGATGAGTGAACTAAGTAGTGTAATTGTAGAGCTGAATTTATTACAGGTCACGTTTCTTTAAACAAACCTCTGAGGCGTCGTGTACATCAAGCTCATCCTGTTGCTGTCTTGCACTCGCAGCGACTGCTCCGATGGTCTGCTCCCTTTGACTCGACTCAGCCTTACACTGGAGAAAGTATCACAAAATGGGAAAATGTTTTATGAAAGACACTCTAGTGATTTACAACTGTTCGCCGAGTACACAACACCGCCCATTAAGGAGAGGATGTTGGCCACATTTGTAAATGAATGACAACTCTCCGTTAGGGTTGACATACACTTCAGGAACGTAATGAAGTAGCATTGTTTGCTAACTAGCGCCGTAACTTCTGTAATATTTCAGAGACTCGAAGTTCACTAGACCTAACCCAATACCACGAATAAGTCGTGTTTTACTCGATAAATAGTGTTATAGTTGTGAACATCGTTGAATTAACTGCTGCGACAACGTTTAAACTAACGGTCGCTAACGCCCGCAAACAATGACAAAAAATGAATTTGAACTTCGTTAGCTTAGGTGACCAGAAACATTATATTTTGTCATAATGTTGTTTGGCACTTATTTTCTTGGCCAAAGTTTAACTTACCGCTCCATTTTTGTCAGTTGTGTTTACAAAATGAACAAAACTTCCGAGCAGATTTGCCCACCCCGCCAAAAAAACGTACAAATACTGGAGGGTGGTGACATCACAGCAGTACGGAGAGCCATTTAGTCCAAGAATGTCCCGCTCGGATTGATGCCGCGTCTACGGATTCGATCGGATTCAGGAACTCCAGGCCTGTCCTGCAGGTTTTAGATATTTTAGATGTAGACACGCTCAAGGTGACATGCTATAGTTGAAAGTAAGCATCAGAATGGGAAAGAAAGGTGCTTTAAGTGACTCTGAACGGCATGATTGATAGTGCCAGAAAGGGTGCTCCGTGTTTCAGAAACAGCTGATCTGCTGGGATTTTCCCGCAAAACCATCTGTAGGGTTTACAGAGAATGATCCAAAAAGAGAAAATATCCAGTGAGCAGCAGAGAAAATGCCTAGTTCATTTCAGGTCAAAGAATGGCCAGACTGCTTCGGCATGATAGGAAGGCAACAGTAACTCATTGCCTCGTTACAAGAAATGTATGCAGAAAAGCAACCTTACCAAGAAGCCACACAAAAACCGGAACTGTTGTGGATCGCGGCAAACGGAACTCAGTTCAACTCAATATTATTTTTTTCTATTTACAAGCTTGTTGGCATAGACAGTCTATACAGCATAGGTTACACACTACAGCAGAAGACAACACCAGGTGCCACAGCTATCACTTAAGAACAGGATACTAAGGGGGTTACAGAATTGGACAACAGAAGATTGGAAAGGGCCTAGGCTTCCCATGATGCACCGAGTGTTTCTTCTTTACTCGCTGCATTTCACTTTCTGCGTTTATTTAAAAAACGTAATTAGCTATTATAGATTACAACACGACTTGACTCTCTTCCATAGCGTGCCGTTTCTCTTGTCCCCTCCACTCATCTCCAAGTGGTCTGGCAGACAGCTGCACCTCCTTGAGCCTGGTTCTGCCAAAGGTTCCTTCCCACCATTGCCAAGTGCTTGGGTGGGGTCATCTGATTGTTGAAGTTTTGTCCATGTTATTGTAGGGTACTTTTCTTACATTGAGGTGACTGTTGTGATTTGGCACTATATAGATAAAGTTGGTTGTCAGAATTTCTGATAAAAAACAAACAAACATGAAAGCATGGAGCCGTCCTGTCTTTTATCAAGTGTTCATGATGCTGCTAATGTATTAGTGTATAGTATATTTTCCTGTCACCCTTTGAGCCCGTTTTTACCACCATGGTTTAAACACCACAACCTACATGAGTACCGCTACAGACCATATCCATCCCTTTATGACCAGTTTACCACTTTCAGCAAAATAATGCACCAAGTCACAAACGCAAATCATCTCGAACTGCTTTCTTGAACATGTGTTCATTGCACTCAAATGACCCCCACAGTTAGAAAATCTTAATCCACAGAGTACCTTTGGGATGTGGTGGAATAGTGTATATATGCTTATCAAATGTAAGGACAGCAGCACTCTCATATGCATGTAAAAATGCTTCATTTGTACATGAGGATGAGATCTAAAAAAATATAAGAAAAATATTTATCTCCCAGACTTAATCAAATACAATATTCATATTACTGGATAAGTCCTCTGACAACTTTCGACTCTAATACTTAAGTTGCCTGACAAGTTTGTATAATATGATTCAGCAAAATCAAGAACTATACTATAAATCACCTTATGCACACTTTAGAAAAAACTGTGATAAAATGATCATCCTTTGGACAAAAAACCTATAATCTGACATCATGTAAAGACTCTCAGTCATATCCGTCCAATGTTTTTCTTCACTTTTGCAAGATGAACAGACTGGATCAACAGTTTGAGCAGACAAGTGACAAAGAGAAGTAGAAAATTTATTGCAGTATTTGTTCCACCAAAAGGGTATGAATCCCCTTTCCTCTTATTACTAGGGTGACCTAATACAACAAAATCTACATTTACAAAATATCCTCCTGCAATAGGCCACATATACTGCATGCGTAGTTCGAAATAGAATAAATTATATTCAGAGGACTCTGCCATTGTACAGCATGGACAAATAAAAGTGAACAAAAATAAAAATTCTTGTTTTTTTGTTTGTTTTTTGTCATCTGTTTTTTTCCTCAAATATCTAAAAGCTAAAAGGAAAAAACCATCCGGTTGCTAGTAGTATAATAAACTCCAAAAACACTTTAATAAGAACATCAAAAAGACTAATTTCCAACATTCACTTAAGGTTTTATTCTTTTTTTTTTACAGCTTTTTTGTCTTCAGAGATATAAACATTTTAATTTTTTGTCGTGTTAAACTATGATACAGTGGGAGTAGAAATGAGCGACTAGAATCTGCTGCACAACAGCGAAGGAGCTCCCACAACAATGTCGACAAAACATTTCCCTCCAGGTCTCGTCTCTGATAGCCTTTTAAGGGATAATCGGGATGAATTATTCCTTTAATGCCTTCAGGATTCTATCCTCTGAACTTGTACACAAACGAAACATGAGCAGTCCCTCTAATATAAGTCTTATGTTTTGTGTCATTTTTGCAAGAATAACTCATGTAAAAGTATGTAGTGTCAAATATTCTTGCCCTCGTGTTTTCTTACAAAAATGAGGAAGGAGAGAGGGAGGGTAGGAATCCAGTGAAGTTTGGCTGTGTTGTTGGAGGTGGCAGGTTGAGGAGGAGGAGAAGGAGCAGGAGCAGTGAAGAGGAGGATTTATAATAAAGTAGAAATGGAACAGGGGAACCAAAAAAAAAGAAGAAAAAAACAAAACAAAAAACCCCACCACATTGGAGCCATTAGCTAGCCCCTCCTTCCCGTGCTGCATACAGTGAGCGTAAAGTCTGTACTACTTTGTTGCTCAGTTTGTGGTTGCTGGTCAAGGCAATCTTCTTGTAAATGATGTCCGACTCCTTAATAGTGTCCACCCAAGGCACCAGTTTTCGGCCATCACGTTTCTTGGCTTCTGCCCAGGGCCCCGAGTACGAACCAGCCATCCAGTGGATGCTGTACCCATTTGAGGTCTTTTGGATGACTCGAGCTATCTGCGGCCGGTCTTTATATTTGGGGCAGCAAAGCGCAATCACATCCATAACCTCCACTGTCTCACTCATCCGACCAGGATCCGAGGAGTCACCTGCTCGCCTTGACTTTCGAGAGGACTGTAGAGAGCAAAGAACAAAAAAAAATTTTTTTTTTTAAAAGAAATGTCCTTAATTTCCTCAATTGCTTTTAATTAGCATTTTACAAAAAGAGTGTGTATCCATTTATCTCACCCCTGGGGTCCTCTCGTCACCATCACTATCATCATCATCCGTCTCTGGTCCGGCCTGATTGCGCGGACTCGGTCCTGACAGGGGGCCGGAGCCTCCCAATAGAGCATTTATGGCTTTGTTTCTGATGTTCGCACTGGCAGATGCTTCCCCCTCCTCATCCTCTTCATCTGGGTCCAGATGTTCCATCAGAACTTTGAACTGTGAAAAGTAAAAAGACAAGAAACCAACTTTGAGACGAAGCTTCAGGCTAATCAGCAGTTATAACACTGCAAACCAAATATTGAATAAAGGGCAAAACTCATATTCACTGCAGTCTGTTTGAATTAGAGATGGACCGATCCGGTATTACATATCGGTCCGATACTGACCTAAATTACTGGATCGGATATCGGAGAGAAATAAAAAATGTAATCCAATCCATTAAATATCACGAAAGCACCTCACAAAACTTGCGACATGGCGTAATTCAGCTCATAACCATAGCACGTCGGAGCAGTATGTGTCAGGTGATAGAGCGGCTGTGGCGTGCGAGACCTGTCAGCGGTCTGGTTGAGCATTTGGAGCCTCGCTACCAAACCGGCATTTCATCTCCGAGAAAGTGATCCCAGAGAGAAGTAAAGCAAGTGGGTAAGTCCATCTCTGAATGTTTGTAAAGGATTCGCACATTAAGCTTAACAACCGATATATGGGGCGACTGCCTCTTCTCTCCCCCTCCATCTCCTGTTGCTACTTCAATCATGAAACTGATCAATGATCAGCTGATCGGCTTTTCTGTCGCAACTCCTGTCTCTCTTGTTTGTTTATGGCCGACTTTGCACCAGAAAGAGGAAACCAGCGGCTGAACAACAGCAGCACCTTTAAACTTGATAAGCTGTTGTTAGAATTTATTTAATATTACTTTCTACACCAGGATCCTTTTCTACGTAGCTGACGGCTGGTAACTGTGCAGGGGCGGATCTAGCAAGGTTATGCCAGGGGGCCAGATAGGGCATTAACAGGGAAAAGGGGGCACAAAGACATACTTTTCTTTCTTATTCTCATTTAAAATGTCTAACTTTTCATAAATAATTATCTGAATCTTACACCCAAAGTTCTAATCTGATGTAAAATGTATAGAAGCCCATTACTGTATATAGTAACTGTTAAGTCTAATATACCCTAGTAAGCTATAGTACTTTT